GTTCCTTCCATTTTTCCTCAAATGACATGGTTCCCAGATGCTGCAAATAAATGGAGCTGTAGTTTGACTTAAAAGTTGTCCTGCATGCCCTAGCCAGTGTGGCTCAGGAGTGTCATCTCGTACACAAAAAGGTCATGGGTTTGATTCCCAGTCAGGACACATACATAGGTTGCGGGTTCAATCCCCAGGCCCCCAGTCAGGCACATGTGGGAGGCAACCGAGAGTTATTTCTCTTTCACACTGATGTTTCTCTCTCTCTCTCCCTTCCTCTCTCTAAAATCAATAATAAAAAAAATAAAATAAAAATTTGTCCTAAATGGAATGCAAAGAAGAGATCCGAAGGTTCATCTGTTTCTCATTCATTTACACCTATAATTGATACAACTGGAAGGACACTCTAAAAGTTTAGAACCCAATAGTCCACCCAGGAGCCATGTTTATGCTAGCTGCCTTTTTTATGATAACACACACACACACACACACACACACACACACACCAGTCATGGGATGGATCTGTGATACAAGGTGGATCAGAGAACCTCATTTCCCTGGCCACGTTGATTGGCTTAAAGAATAGTCATACCCTGGCTGATTTGGTTTAGCGGTTAGAGCGACTGGCCAGCGGACCAAGGGGTCTCGGGTTTGATTCCTGGTGAGAGGCACGTGCCTGAGTTGCAGATTCAATCCCCAGTCCCGGTCAGGGTGGTGCAGGAGGTGACCAGTCAACATGTCTCTTCTCACATCAATATTTCTCTCTCCCTCCCTCCTTTCTACTCAATTGAAAAATCAATAGAAGAGTATCCTCTGGTGAGGATTAAGAACAACAAAAAATAGTCACAAGTTCCAACCTGGACTAATAAGAGTTGTTCCCCAAGATTCCAAGCTAGCTGGATCTCGGGCAAAACCTGCTTCCCTCTCAGCTTGTGGAGGTATTAGATTTGACAGCCATTTATTTCCCCATTTCACGGAATAAGGCAATTTGACAGAATGAGATCCATATGCAAAATAGTGTGGAGAAAAAGACCCCAAATCTCCAGTTTCAGTCTTTCTTGAAACCAACTCTACCCCTATCTTTTCTATGGTTTGGTTTAAGCCAATAATTCCCCTCTGACTGAACTGAGTTTGTGTTAGGTTTGTACCATTTGCAGCAAAGAGGGTCCTGTCTAATACAATATCCATAAGGTTAAAACTACTTTAACCAGACTAACTGAATGCATAAAAGGCAAAAATTGCCATCCCACCCTACAAAAGGTTTGGATAGAATCTCTTTTCAGCATTATTTAAGAATGAGAATGACACTCACTTACCAAAGATCAAAGTCTATTTTCCTTAAGAGCCTGAACTCATAGGGCTGACACTGTTTGTCTAAAACTGTATTCCTACAACTATCATAGTGCATGGCACATAGTAGGTACAGAAGACACTCTCCACTATACTTGGCATCGTAAACATTAGGCAAAACATTGAATGTAATTTACTAAAACGAAGACATGAACCCTGGAAAAAAATATATTTCACCTCCTTAAGATTAGATTACCCACTCATCTCTTCAGTCTTTTTTTAGCCATAAAATGTTATGATTCTATCCATACTCAACAATGCTAAAGAAGAGTCTTCAAAAGACGTAGATATGCTTAAGGGGGAAACATACAGCAACAAAGAAATATGTAATTGGAGAAAAAAGCAAAAGATAATAATGGGAAGCAATCATCAGTGATAGGATGTGCTTTTTTCCTGTTAGCTTCCTCTCTTATTCTTACCAACTTCTATGGTCAGAAAAGCCCTCTGTGCTGGATCTAAATTGCCAGCCACCAAGCCTTTCTCCTTCCTGGGTCTTATAATCCATATGATGGTTCCTTCAGCTCCACCATGCATCTCCCTTTAGAGTTGGCTTCCCACTTCTCACCGCCTCTCACCATTCCAGACAGTGTTTCTTGTCACCAACAGAAGATATATCCAATTATATTGTGTACCCCCATCCTGTTTCCCATCCTGTCCCCTGCAATGTCTGATGCCCAAATGTCCATAATTTTCTATTTTCTTCTGATGTTTTGAACTTAGGATTCTGTCTCCATATAAATAATCATAAAATGGCATCTCTGTAAATTACTGGGAACCATTTATATTAAGTGGCTCTAAGGAACTGACCTCAGATCACTCTATGAAAGAAAGCCTTGATTAGGGAAAATAATCTTAGTACAGTTAACAACTAATGTCTAAGTAATAATATATACCTGCATATTAAGTATTAAGTACTTTATACTAGCATATTCTACTATGAATAAGTACTGTGCTAAGCACTTTGCATGCATTTTCTCACTTAATTTTCATAACACCTCTGTGACAGAAATCCTAACAGTTACCAATGTTTAAAGATGAAGATTCTGAGGCTCAGAAAGAGTGACTTGCTCCTGGTTATACTGCTAGTAAACACAAGAGCCATATCCATATGACTCCAGAATCCTTGCTCTGACCCATTACATGACTCACAAAAGCACTGATCCCTGTGAGAAATGGGAAAATGAAGGGCCGCTGGGGGGTAACAAAAGCAAAGAGAGTGGGGAACTAAAATCAACATGATCCACTTTCGTATTTTGCTTTGAGTCAGCCCTATTTGAAGAAGAACCTTGTTCCCATTATGTAGCAATGGATTATCTGCCATTTTGCATTGTGCAAATGTATCCTCCACTATCCAGGCTAATCTAGTTGACTGTAGAATGCCATACACAGACATTCCAATGACAGACAACTAATTCAATCTTCTGTGTGAGGAAGATGCTACTGAACATCTCTTCAATTTTTCCTCCATAGCTTTTGATACAGGGCACCTCACATAAACCACGACTATTCCTTCCTACAGTATCTAGAGAAGAAAAGTAATTGAGAATACCAGGAAGGAGAGAGCAGGGTGAGAAAGAAAAGGAAGAATGATTGTAAAAGGTGCTACCCCCCTCAAAAAATACTATCACAAAAAATCAAACAGAATTTTTTAAAGTGAATCAGTGCAGGGTGATTATCTGATAACCTGTGAATCAGGGAGAAATGAATGTTCATGGCCCACTGCTAAACAAAGAAAGGCACTTGACTGTGCAATAGAAACCATATGTTCAAATAGCCAAGGTGGAATTTTCCTGCATCACAGAGTAGAGAGATATTGAGTATTTCCTTCAGAAGTGAGACCTTACTGCTATAATCTATCCTGGGTCTTTAGCAGCAGCATCATTTCACCATTAAGCAAATATCCCTTTATTTTTAGATTCCATAATCTCTAATTCCTCCAAAATCTTAACCTATTCACTCAGGCTTTTATATACATCAGTAGATACTTACTGAAGGGTCATTAGATGTTTCAATGTTATAATCAGTCTCAAGTTTGGGTGAAATGGAAGCTGGGCATCAAACTAACAAACTCTCTGCGCTCCTTCAGCAATTAATACATACAGGTCTTAAAAGTACAATTTTGGGTAGAATGTAGCAGAGATTCCCTCTCACTGAAATAAAAGTCTTAATTATTTTATTATTAATATTCTATTTATTACCTGTGTGTTAGGAAGTATGGAAGTAATTAATTGAAAAACTGTTTTTAAGCTAAAATAGAGGAACAGATCTAAAATACTACACAATTTGAAATATTTCAAAGTAAAAGGTCCTTAAAATATACTAAGGAAGTCTAATGTCTTCACTCCAAGTCTAACCATTTTTTATTCTAACCAATTTCCATTAAACAGGGAAAGGAGCAGGGAGGAGAGAAAGCATTTGAAAAACTGCCAGAGTAAAAAAAAATCCCATAATGAAATTTTGCTCATTCTTGGAGAAATGAAGTAGAATTAGATGCTTCAGTGGTGGTGAATTCCAGAATCTGGGTAGCTGCCAGTAAATGAAGCTTTTCCATCATGTCAAATGGAAAAGCTATCTGATATCAACATATTGAGCTTGAGTTTTTAAATTCCTATTTCCTTACACCAAATTGTTTGAAACCTTTGAGATAAAAACTTCAATAAACTAGTGTTCCAAGCTTTTAATATTTTAGTCCCTTAAGCAAGCATGTCAGATTAGTCTTCAAATTGCAACGGGCAGAAGGAACATTCAACCAAATTCTTAAACCCATGCCTCTCTCAAAGGATGTTAATAATGTAAGCAGTTTCACTGACTATTAAGATGTCAAACTTTCCTAATTCTCTGCAGTATTGCTATTTAACAGGGGGAGGGGGAAGAAGGCCATTCTATCCCGAAAGAAAGGTATTTTACTTATTATATCTTTGTATCCACTTAGCATTTAGCACACTGCCAGGCACACAGTAGTCATTTAACAGACAATTTTGGAATGAGTTGATGGATTGGCCTGGGGGAAAGTGGAAATCTTGCTGAGAACAGCATGAGTCAAAATCCTGCCATTGCTCAGCAACAAAACCCATCTCCAGAATAAGGGTTATCAAGGTAGAACAGGAATTTGAACATGTATCTTCAAAATGCCATCAAGGGGATTGTTTCCTGAGCTGGCGAGCAGCCATCAAGAGCCACTCATAGAGGAATTGGACTCCTCTCCAGCTTCATCATGCCTGGAAAACTCCTGCCCTGTCTCTCTACGCCAGACTCCTCTGCCTTTTTACTGGGTTTGGGTTCCCACTCACAGAACTTAAGTACAAGATTCCACTTCGCTCGTCTAACTCAGACCTCCTCACCATTCCAAGGTTTTCCAAGCACCTGCTCCGAGGGACGCCACACCAGGCTAGGCACAAGGAAGGACACACACCGGGGCTCCGACACCTTTGAAGGTGAAAGGGTGGTGGTGGGAAGCGATGAGGGTGGAGAAGAACAGACATCAAGACCAGGACACTATCCAGAGGTTTCTTAGGCCCCTCCTAAAGCCTCTGCCCCAACCGCTAGAAGACGCTGGGGAACTACCAAGCCTGCCCAGGAAGCGCAGGGCGGCCCGGGGTTGGGACTGCGGAGAGAAGGGCGGGGGGTGGCAGGGAGCCAGACGGGGCAGGGGACAGTACCTGGTATGGCTGTGGTTGCGGGGAAAGTCTTTTTTCTCCATGATGGCCGGCACACAGTTGGTGAGCTCCGTCCAGTCGGCGTGCAGCCCGCAGCTCCAGCCTGTGGAGAAGCGGGAAAAGAGCCACGTCTCCTTCTTGCCGGGCCGGTGGCAGGTGCACTTCTTCTGGCCCGCTTTGCAGCTACACGGCTGCTCTAGACGGATGTTCTTCACCAGGTGCCGGCCGAACGTGGTGCCCCCGGTCTTCTGGATGTGCAGGAACACGATCACGTCGCGCCCTTTGATGTTGAAATCCACAAAGCGGGTCAGGTCCTTCAGCGTGAAGTTGAAGCGCGGCAGGAACCGGGGCAGGGAGCCGTTGTCGGGGGCCTCGGGGTCCGGCTCTTCTTCCTCCTCCCCCTCCTCCTCCTCCTCGGGGTCCCCTGGCTCCTCGTCGTCGTCTTCGGGCGACACGGCGCCCCGAAGCCCCTCGGGCGGCCCCCGGGGTGGCGGGGGCAGCTGAGGACGCCGCTCCCGATCTTCCAGCGGCACCTGTGCCCGGCGGGCGGGACCGGAGGCAGCAGGCTGGCCGGCCTCCCCCGCGCGGGGCTGCTCCCCGAAGTTGGCGCAGGAGCTGGTGCAGGAGGGGGACACATATTGGTACATGATGACCACAAAGAGGAGAGTGAGCACCGGCGTCAGCAGCCACTTGTTGAACCTTTCATCCATGGTCCCGCTCTCAGGCCGGCAGGCAAAGCGGCGGCAGCAGCGGCGCAGACGGGCGCCCGCTCGGAAGTTTCGGGGACTCAGGGGCGCGGCTCCGAGCCCGCCGCTCCTCCATGCCCCTGACGCCGAGACGTGCGGCTGGCTGGCGGCCCCGCGGCACTCCGGCACTCGAAACTGGCAGAGCCGGGCCTTCCGACCGAGCGGGTAGGCGGGCGCCGGCGCGTGCGGTTGAGGCTGTGGCGTGGGGCGCCCTGCGCTCCCGGGAGCGCTCAGCTCGGCCCGCTTCTTGCTCCGGCCGAGGTGCCGGGCGCGCGCTCAGGCGACGCGGGGCATCCCGCTGCCCGCGCTCAGACGCTGGAGAGTCCGGCTCCGGTCCTGGACCTGCCCCGGGCAGCCGGGCAGCCGGGCAGCTGCAGCGGCGAGTGCGGGGTCTGCATGAGGCTCGCCAGGGCACTGGCCAAGGGCAAAGGCGCGGCCCGGCCCCGCCGCCCCGGCCGGCTGCAGGCACAGCGCCCTGCACGCGGGCCGGGCGCCTTTGCCCTCAGATCGCGAGGCGCGGGAGCCGCGGGGGCGGACGGTGACAGCCGCAAGTTTGCAGAGGAGCCCCCGCAGCGGCTGCGGGCGAGGCGCCCGTGCGGAGCCGCCTCTCCCGGCGAGTCACACTGCTGCTCCGGGTCGGTCTTCCCAGGCGCCGGCACGCAGACACACTCGCACACACTGGCTGGCACCGCCACAACCCGCCAGCCGGTGTGACAGTAGCCCTGCTACCCGCAGCAAAAACCTGCCCTAGGTACGGAGCATGCGCCGAAGCCTTCCCAGCCCCGGAGGAGTTTCCAGGGGAGGAGTCCGCTGCTCCGCGGGGCTCGAGGAGGCAGCTGGCGATGGGAATCCCTTCTGCCTCGAGGGAGGAGAGATTTGGGAGAAAGGCACAGGCGGAGCAAGGAGAGGCTCCGAGGAGAGCGTCGCTGGAGCTGATCTGAGACCTCTCATCGACAGCCTTCTCAATCTGAAAGTGGGGAGAAATGTGGCTGGCCTTTTGGGGAGAACACCTGCACAGCGCTGGGTGGATTCACCTAAACAGGACTTCACAAGAGTAGGCTGGTCCCCCGTCAGCAGGGGAAATTGGCTCCAGACTGCTTTTAATTTCTACCCAGGACATTCTAACTGGTGCCCTAGTTTTATTTCAGCCCTTTCTTAACTACAAACTTGGTGTGTCCAGCTCTACAGCTTGATTCAACCAGCATCCAGTCATGATGAACGCCATTGTCCATCAGGAACCTACTGTGTATCAGTCAGGCTCTGTGTTCCACCCACACTTCATTTCTTCCAGCACCAGGCAGTCCTCTCCACAGCCTTGCGGTACTTAGAGAGTAAGAGGAGTTTTGGGGTCACCTCCTAAAATTCATCCTACTAATACACCTTGAGCTCTTAAATGTGCAAGACTTACCGTTTGCCCCCAAAGTGGACACTAAGATCTACACTTATCTGTATTTCTTAACATAAATAATCTCTTGTTTGTGTGCAGATGTTTTAAAAAACTTTATTTTTCAAACATCTAAATTTTGCACTTACCTGAGAACCAAATCTTTATGTAATAACAATTTCTGTTTTTCAGATAATGGATGGATGTACTATCAGTTTGGAGTAAATTCCTGATCTTATTTGACCCAAGTGGAGAGTGGCAGTATACTGAAGGCCAGAACGATGCAGTTTGATCACCTGGCCCATGCCATCATGTCCCTCCTGGCTACCCCACCATCATGTCCACACCTGGCATTCCATGCCTTCATATCAGCCAACTTTCCCACCTGGTCTCCTTAGAGATCTATGAGGTACTGTGTCTTCCTGAGACACTGTGCTGATCTCTTCCATTTGTCTGACTGTTCCCTTCGCAGCCATCAGTTAAGATCCAGATCTGTTTTAGGACTGCTAAGTCTTACCCATAGGAAGTTATTTTTATTTTTATGGCAGGTGAGATTCATCTCAACAAAGCTTCCCTCTTCTGCTACCTTGCCTCTTTTCAACTCTATAAAGAACCACAAACAGTGCCCTTCCTGATACTGTGTGACCCACATTAGTAAGAAAGGTGTTAGGTAAGATGAATCAGCTTCTTTAAAGCTTACTTGATTCTTTCTCTTTCACTTCAAGTGAAAGTCCTGTTAATAACATCACACTACTCTCCCAAGCAAGAAATTGAAATAGAACCCAAAACCCAATAAAACCCAACAATCATTTTCTGAATGCATCTAGTTAATGATGTTCTGATTTTAAAATACATACATTTGCTTTAGCAAAATAAAAATGTATCCTGTTTTTATATTACCTTATTTGCGAAGTTTTTCATTTTCTATAAAATCACATGGATAAATATAACCTTGTTAGCTACACAAATGTCTGACCTGAGTGCTGGTGGCAATTTGTATAGTGGAAAGCACTTTCCTAGCCATTTTCTCATCTGCTCCTCAGAACCACCCAGTAAGGAGATAAGAGGAGCATGATATCCCATTTCAGAGATTATGAAACTGAACCCAGGAAAAGTAGGTGAAAGCAGAGCCAAGATTAGAAACCACTGATATCCCTGAAACACATTCAGATTGCAGTTGAAGAAATCCAATGAACATCAACAACAGATCCCATAATTTCCTCTGTTCCCTCTCGGGACCCTTTGAGTCAAGAGGCAGGAAGAGACAATGAAATCGCAATAGAACAATTAAATTATTTTCCCTTTCCCTCTGGCTTTAAGGCAACGCTGAGCAATCTCTCCATCCTGCAGTATTTTGGACCCAGTCAGTGAGTTTCCGGATAAACAGGAAAAACAACACAATTTAACATGATTATATCATTGTTTAAAAAAAATTATTTAGGAAAATTTCAGAAGAAAACATTATAACAAACAAATATAATAGCTATGTTGCTGACAAAGTATGGTTCCATACCTAAGCAAACCTTTAACCCTCTTCAAAGAACATTATCCCAGAAGATTTCTTTTTGCTTTCAGTAAAATACCTGACGAAGCACCATTATTTCCTTGAGGTAACCACAAGGAAAACAATGCATAGAATCAAGCAGTGACACCGTTAATTCAGGCATAGACCCAAGTATTTGTTTTTAGTGATAGGTAACTTTGGTGGTGTGAATGAACACTATCTCAGGAGTAGTCTCCCTATCACAGTTGTGGAACTTGGTGTGAAACGAATCAAAGATCTTAAATCACGCAATAAACAGGCTTTCTTATCTACAAGGGCAGACCTCACATTCATGTGAAAATAAATAGAAATTTTCTAAAATTGAATGCTCTTCAGGTAAACAGAAAAACATGTTTGCATTCAGCCCACTATTGTTACTCCATGATGACACCAGCTGGCAATTGTTTCTGGCTAACAGATTGCAGCTACTATGATTCCGACACAAATTATTAAAATAATAAAAATAATGTTTTCAAAGAGCTTTCTTCCACTTCCTTTGCCAGTCTAGCAATGAGCTTAACACTCTCTGTGAAGCAATTTGTTCACCTAATTTTATGCCTTAATAAGCTTTACTACAATTATTTTCTTGCCTGATTCTCTCTCTGCCTTAACTTCAGCACTCTTCCTCCCTGTTCTTCTCAAATATTCTCAAACCCGTTAACAATATTGCACTCCCTTAGGATTCAAACTTTTGATTAGAACAGTCCCCATTTAATCAAGTTCAATTGGGAGATAAAATTGCATCTGAACTTCTCCATTCTCCCTTTGGTGCCAGAAACTGCCTCTGAGCATGTTGAGGAAACCCTGGAGAGATTAACAATCCAAACCATCACAGAGAATAGTGTTGGATTCCCCACATTTGCACATAGTAATATATAGGTATGAGTGCCCTTCAGTACAGATGAAAAACAAAATAGATTAGGTAAGTGATTGGCAGTGTGAATCTCTCCTTCAAGAATATAAAGTACTCTTATACACAAAAATGATTTTTTTCATTTTTGTAAACAAACCAAAAAAAAAAAAAAAGCCCCTGTTGTGAGCAGTTTTGAAAATAACCAGCAAAGTAGTGGCTTACGCAGGTTTTGTACAGCTAAGGCAAACTGCAGAAAGACTGTGATATATACTAAATATGTTCCAGTTCACTATGTGATTGTAACTGTGAGGCAACCATAACCCTACACAGTGCTTTCCTTGAAGTTCTATTTACATGAACAGTTTATTCATTACTTTGTTGTATAACATTTTCATTCACCATTGATAGCTGCCTACGAATGATGAATGGAAACTATGCTACCTGTATGCAAAATATACTCATTAATTTATTGCAGTATAAGCAGACACAATAATCTTTTCATAGTAGATATTCACTTATTTCTTCAACAAGAGCTCATCAAGCATTTACTCGATACCTGGTGCAATTCTGAGTACTTTGTTTACAACATTAAACACGGCTATTAAGGACCCTGCCCTAATGTATCTTACATTCCAACAGTGGAAAAATAAACAATGAACCAGTAACCAAGATTCACTCATTTATCCAAAGATATAGTATCAAGCCCCCATCATGTTACCAGTTACTTTTAGGTACTTGGAATATTTTAGTGATCTATATAAACAATATTTTTTGCCCTCAAGAGTTTAAATGCCAGCAGGGTACACTTGTTGGGCCTTGAGGGCCATGGTAAGAATTTTATTCTGGAAGAAATGGATTTGAACAGTTTTTAAACGATCGCTTTTGACTGCTTTGTTGAGGATGGTTTGTAAGAGGGCAACCATAGAAACGGGAAAACCAGTTAAGGAATTATTCTGAAACCAAGTGAGAGATGACAGTGGCTCCGACCAAGACAGGGTGGTAGCAGAGAAGAAAGTGGAAAGTGGTCCAATGCCTGCATTTTCAACAGAGTCAGGAATGTGTTTCCTGGTGGGTTGAATGTGGGGTATAAGAGGAAAGGGGAACCAAGGATGATGCCAAAGTTTGGGGCCTGCCTGTGCAACTGTAAATATAGAGTTACCATCAATTGAGATGTCAAGGGCAACCATTCCAAGTGCTATCAG